ACACGACATAATTATTTTCACACATTCTTACATGGTATCAAACTAGAGTTTGAGTCAATCGTAGGCTTGGTTTTGGTCACTCATCTCTAACCATAGCTGTCTCTCACCACCCTTGCCATCCTCTCCAGCATCTTGAGGCGAGTCTTTGGCGGAATTTTTAGGTCGATCGCCTGCACGTGTGGACTTTACGCCCCTTGTCCGTTACGGCACTGCGAGCTTTCGCCAATGCGTGTGGACCATCTTCACCTTCGTTTGCCGCCACCTTTTCAGCTGTCAACTCCTGTCATTGTCAGCTACATTTTGGTCCGATCAATTTTTCATATTCGTGACTTTTTTAATTTATGCTCGTACTGATATCTTGAATGATTCTTAAACCCGTTTCATAACTTGATTTCACCTACTTTGCGATATAGTGTTGGTGATTATCTATTACAATATTTTTTCATTGTTATAGACAGTTTAAATGTGAATTCTCCTATCAAAATTGTCTAATTAGGAGATAATTATAATATTTGAGCACAATCTATGAAAGCTTTTTAATTTGGAGAAAAATTGTGAAAAATTGTGACTGGTGATGTGTTGCCATGTGCATACATCCCGAAATGGGGATACCATCCCCACTCCATAGACTCTTACATCATATGTTGATAAGTTCGGTGATTGAGATATTACGATTCATCAAATTCTTACTTGGCTAAGTAATTGTTTAGTCCTTGATATTCAGGTGCAGTTTGTTCCACTTAATGGTGCAGAAGTGACTTGGGATTTTGGCTGCTCGCTTTCATACTATATGTGTGGCTCATTATTATAAGCTTGGGTCAGGAAGCTTGACTACTTAGTTGTCGATCAACTTCAAAGCAACCTAAAATCTTCACTAAGCAACTCATACGTCTGAGAAAAAAATCTATGCAACATTGGTCTCAGCTCTCGTAGTCTTTGACCATTTTTTACACATCTAAACTTTATGTACCTATTTGTTCGATGGCGAGAAACAAAGACGAATGACTTCAAAGTTGCACAAAATACTTGCAACACGAATTGAGCTGTATATGAAACAACGAAATTATTGGATCAATATCAATACAATGAATTAACAAAAAAAAAAAGGTACCTCGAATACATGTCGATTGCACGGGCCACTGTTAAGACAAGGAAAAATAAATTGAGCGTTACGTAAAGCTAAATTCAACAGAAACTCAATTTTAACCTAACTACGCTATCCTCCATATTATTGATATAATTAAACAATACCAAACAATCATTCTTACACATCACATCGATTTTCGTTTCATGCTTCATATAATCTCTCTCATACTTACACACATCAACCACGCCCTAAGAAATTCATGTACCATAAGGCAATTAATATTAATAGTTAATCCATAAAACAAAACAACAAAAAAATAAAAAAATAAAAATGAAGGTAGAGTGAGACAGGCCCATGTAGCCAATGGCCCATCACAAATAACCTTTTCTCTAACATCAATTTCCTCTAATAAGAAATGTCCGAAGAGCCCCTCACTCGAAACCATCGCCACCTACCCAACACGCCAAGGCCCATTAAACAGCAGCTCATGAACTCAGTCGATCAGCATTTAAGAGAAAAATCCCAAAAGAACCATGAAAATCAAAGACAAAAGTGGTGGCAAACAATTTTTCGCCATTAAAGGCTGCACAAAAAACATTGAATTAGTACCTACCATCCTTATCCTATCTTAATTAACAATAATCGTTTTT